CCGGGAATTTGCTAATGATGATATAGTTGTTGAGACCTTTGAGGGTGGGGAATGATATCAATAATAACAATAGTAAGAAAAATGCATTGCTTTGCAAGAGCCTTTGAAGTCCTCTGGAAACCTAAATCACTCTCCTGCTCATAGCCCACTGAACTGCTGGAGGGCACGCCATCTCCCATCATCTCAATGCCAATGGCCGACAGGTGTGACATAAATTAGTTTAACATCAGTAGAGGATGTTTTCTCAAATGCAATGTGCAAAGCCTATAACTTTCAACAAATGTTTTTTAAAAAAGTACTTAAAATCACCAGCAAATATAGTTTTCGAAGACAAGAAGTTTATCAGAAGCAATAGTAACATTGTAGGTGTCACAGACGACAGTGACTACTCTGTGAGACAGAGGAAACCCTGGGCAGTAGGGACCGACATGGATGTTTGTTTGTGCTTTTGAATGATTAGATGAAAAGCTACTTCTCAAATTGGTATGATAGTCCCCAGTAACAGGATAACCTATATATGAATGAGCCTCCATAAGATTTTAACAGGAACTCATTTTGTTGTTGATGTTGTTGTTTTGAGCCAGAGTTTCTCTGTACCTTTGGAGCCTATACTGGAACTCGCTCTGTAAACCAGGCTGGCTTTGAACTGACAGAGATCTGCCTGCCTCTCCCTCCCGCATGTTGGGACTAAAGGCGTGTGCTACCACCACCCGGCAAGAATTCATGTTTTAAGAAAATGATTTATATTTAAAATTGCCAAATGAATCTTTTGAAATATTCCTAAGAAAACATAATGGACTCTGATAACTGTAATATTGTGGTTTCCTAGGCCTCAAATTCAGTGTAGGCCAAAGCAACCATATACTTCATGGTTCTTCCTCTTTTTTTTCTCTGGATGACTGTAGCACATTTAGAGTAAAATTGAAATTCAAATATCTAGAGCTACAGATAGGGCAATCTCCGACTGGAGGCCAAATGCCCCCCGAGCTGTGCCTGTAGCCTCCATCTTATCTTCCACTCCCGAGTTTTGGCTTCTCTTACTTCAGATGCGTTGTGTTCATTGCTGAAGTGCACTCATCTTTGCCTCTAGAGCCTGTTCTAAAGCAGCTTCACCCTGTCCCCAAGACTTTCCCCTCCCAAGGACCATAACTAAAGACAGACAGAGATGTTCCTAATGTATAGGGACCTATGTATACGGCTTCTGGAAGCCTTCAACAAGAGAGGTCAAACAATCTCAGTACTGGCATTCTTTCCACTTCAGGCTCTCTTTGCTTCCATGATGCTTGAAGGGTCAGCTTCCATTCCAGTCACATTTGCTAACCCTTTCTCCATATGCGTGTGTATTTACGACGGCATGAACGTTGTTGAAAGGAGCAATTAAAAATACGACGTTCTCTTACTTTCCTTGGTTGCGAGTCTATAATGTACTCACTGCTCCTAGTTGCATGTCTTTACCTGACACTGTTTCAAGGACACAATTCAGGGGAAGTCATAGGATAAAGCTATTGGCCCCAGAGAGAGCCAAAGTAGTAGAGTTAAGAAAGATATATTTTCTCAATATAATTTTACTGTGTAGAGTCCGTCGATGAGCAGATGACTCTCAGCATCATGCGTTCCTTGGTTGTCTGAGGCCTAGCATATTGTTTGCATACAAGTAGGGGTCCCCTGAACTTGTGGAGAAAGCGATGCATTGTGACTGCAGCAGACATTTTCTCCCTACACTCACTGGGTGCTGTATCCCAAGACCTTTTAAAATGGAATCTGAACACAGAGTTTGGGAGGCAAGGCAAAGTATGGGCCCTACCGTTGGATCTGAGAAATTTCTGATGTCTGGATTTTCAGGGGCCCACATCTCAGCAGTAGTGACAGAGTTAAAAGTCTTCTAGAGAGAGCCAAACCACAGGCTTCAAGGAGGGAGCACCCGACAGTATTTCCCAGGCTTGAAAGTAGCCGGGGCTCCATAATATTTGCTTAAATTCACCACAATGCAGAGCTGTTGACCAAAGATGTCACCTGGCGTGGAGGAGAGCATCTTTAGAGAGGCATGACAAACCTTGAGCTTGGAGCAGGGACAGGCCAATCAGTGTGCTGCGTGGCTTTCCTTAAACAGAGGCCCGGAGAAATTCTAAGGGCCTGTCATATTCCCAGGACTGCTTAACCTCCCAATGCCTCCTCTCAATTCATGCCAAAGCTAGGCTCTAGGCGACTGTTGTTGAAGGGGGTCTCCAGGGTGAAGCCTGCTTGGACAGTAATACTCCTTCACTTCTTCCCCGGTGTCATTCTCCACCTGCTACGCTGGAGAATGCATGACCTAGCCCTGGCAGGCCGCCCAGCTTTGGAGAGTGCTTGCTGGTGTTAGCACTCTCACTAGCTGGCTGCCAGTGACCTAGCTCAGCCTCCCATTTCCTGCTATTGAACTAGCTGGCAAGAGCTGCCTCGGGATTGCAGAGAGGACTCGGTGAGAGAACCAGGGCGAGCTAGCTTTGGAAAGGCAGTTGCTGGGCAGATGGTAAGGGATTACTTCCAAGAGCCAGGGTTAGTTTCATTTCAGTCTTTGACATCCTGGGGAGGTCTCAACGCCTTCATTAATGAACATCCTCCTTAGCTAAAAGCCTAGAGCACGGGACCGAGAAGAAGTAGCATCTAAGGCACTGCCCCACCCAAGGAGGCACACTGGGTTCAGTTCCTTGCTCTGGGAGCATCTGGACTTGAGCTTCAGCTTCATTTAGGAACACAAGGCAATGCAGGAACCATTCCTCAGAGTTACTGTGAGGATCGAGTTTCGATTTAGCAAGAGCACAGAAATGTACTTGCTAAGGGCAAATATCCAATGTCAGTGATGCCTGTGGTTACTGAGGCTGCCTTCATGTCCTCATTGGGAATGCAATAAAGTACACCCTTCACCTGCTTTCTAGGATGCTAAATGAAGGCTGAGGACTTCTGGATGGATGCATGAGAAGATACAGTAGACAAAATGCTACTATCTCCTTTCTCCACCCAACCTGTTTCCACGCATTTGCAGAAGGCCAGGCTAGAAAGAGAGAAGAAATAGACAGCGGTCCTCCCCCCATTCCCATTGAGAAACTTTGCTTCTGGCCTGAGAGGTATCACTGGTAAGGGTGCCACATTAGATACAAGAAAAATCAGGGTGGCATAGTCAGAGGTAAGACTACTCAGTCAGTGGATAAGAAACTTGAATGTGTTGCTGGGTAATTCAAGTGCTCTTCTACAGTTAAAACCCAGGCCTGCAACCAGTTGCCAAGGGCTCACAAGTTTGCTAGCCCTGGCTGGAAAGAGGTGTCATGGTCCTCAGGTCCCCCTGTAGGAAAGACCAAGCAGCTGGGTCTAGAGCAGCTTCTACAGGGCCTGCTGCATCCCCAGTGCCCTGGAGCACAGAGCACAGCTAATTTTCCTAGGGATGGTCCTCAAGCCACACCCTCAACACTGTCTGGGTTCTGGGCCACTGGGCTATGCTCTTGCTCCCCCAACTTGTTTCTCTTCCCTCACCCCTCCCCAGCCCTAATACCTACATACTAGCCCAGCAATCACCTCCTGCTACTGTGCACCTCCTCCGCAGCCTGGATTACTTACGTTTGTCCCAAGCTTATAATCTTCGGCTATTTGAAATGTACAGCCCGGTCCCTGAACCCAGAGACATTTGCTCCTCCCGGAAAGGATAACAGACAGTAGTAAGGAGCTGTCTATTTGAGATGCTGAACGCATATATTTGAGAACTGTGTCTTGAGTTAGCAAGTTATTTGTCTGAGCGAATCACTTAACCTCTCTGAACTTCCAAGAGCAGGCTAGTAGTGTTTAGATCAGAGCTCTGACTCTCTACCAGTTTCTCTGCATTCCTGAGAAGCAAGGGTAAACCTATGACGATTAAAAATAGTCAATGTGTCAGCATAAAAATTAAGTGTGGCAGAACATTTGGCTTGGCATATAGGAAAAGGCCAAAGGTTAGTTGTCTGAAGCATCTGCATGCCACCTTGTGAGGTGCTCAGGGAATATAACTTTTGAGTTTTAGCTCCATTATCTATTACCACATGCTTTCTCCTTTCTAGAGAGAAATAAGATGCCAAGGTGCATGTTGGCATGTGGGTGCCAGTGTTCCTAAGAGAGGTAGGAGGAAGTTAGTGGCAGAAAACTGTGTGACATTTATGGAAGCTGTCTTAATCATTTCCTTAAGATCAGGATAGAATGTGAAAAGTATGACAAAGGGGGCTTGGAACATGGAGGAGCATACACACACATGTACACACACAAATATACATATATACACATATACATTTTATATATCTAAATGGACAGTATATATTTAATATGTATTTATATACATATATATTTAATGGAAAATGACATTTCAAAGATTAGAAAAGCAATGAATATGCCTTAAGTAGAAAGAGAGCCAACACTGAGATTAGTTGGCCTCTCCTGGTGCCAGGCTTCCAGGAGGGAGCTGTGCACATTATCTCTGGGTGCACTTGGGAGGCACAGGGTGACCCTGTACCTTAGGGACACAATGACCTTAGGGCAACATTGTTGTAGAACAGGTTCTAAAGGCAGGGGGAGGGGCACATACTCTGGTAGCAGCTGCAGAACGTGTCAGACTTCAGAGAAGCAAAACTCAGGCGAGGAAAGGAGAAGGTGAATGATAAGAGGGTATGTGGAGATGGATTTGCCCTCTGGTAGAAGGCTGCCTTGTGTGAATCTCTCAACAACTGAATTTAAATTCCAGTCTAAAAAACGTTGCCTTCACAGAGGTGCCTAACTATCTTCCAGTTCAGACTCCTTCAGAGTGGGAAGCACGCCGGGTCTCCCCAGATTTGTCAGTTCCTCTGCTCTTCAAGATTAATGCCCTTCTCTGGCTTTGAGTATGGAAGCAACCTTTTCTCTTCTTCCCGGATTAGTAGGATAACAGCAATGAGGCCCCACTCAGCAAGACCTGCAGGAAAACATAGCCTCCAACAGCCTTTGAGACCATGTCCTTCTGCTCCTCACCCCGTGGCCAGACAATGTTGAAGCAGCACCAACAACGTGGGGGCATTTCATAAACGGCTGGCTCTTAGTGCACGCTCCACGCAGACCCTGACTAAAAAATGCTGTTAGCAGAGAGGCGAATCAAATCAAATCAAACCAATTCCTTAGTGTTTGACCCCAGGGGCAAAGGAGACACTGGTGAGAAGGAACCACAACTTGGAAAAAGATTTATTTTTCCTGGCCATAAATCTCACCCCCTTGTTCCTCTGCCCAACCAAGCATGATAAAGTCCTTTTCCATAAAGTATTCAGCATTAGAGCCACAAAGCTCCCCCAATCAGCCGCCATCTGCTTCTACCATAACTGCTGCTGCTACCGAAGCAGGGAAAGCAGCCGGAGAGAAAGAGGAGCGCTGCTAGGCTCCGGGACAAATGAGCCTCAATAGCTCTGGTTTGCCTTGTGTATCTGTATCTATAGAGACAGGAGAAGAAAGGCCGCATTATATTGATACAACAATTGTAAAACAAAACATGGAAGAGGCATCTAAAGGGCAATATCGCATGCATCAGGGGTCCCCAGATAAAAGGGGAGCTAACAGATTTATAGAAACCTTTAATTGGTTTTCAATTGAAAGCTAAAGAGGGCTGGGGTGAAGCCGTGAAGAGCCGCAAAGTGCTCTCTCATTCAGCCGTCTGGAAGCGTGAGCGACTTCACGGAAGGAGAAAAGGGACGCCATGGGCCTTGCCTCTTGAGCCTGGGAGCCTCGGACTGATTTTTTGAGTCAGTCTTTCCCCGCCCCCAACCAGTAAGGGGAGAGAGAGAACGAAGAGTGCAAAAGCCAACGAGAACTTTCTAGTTCCTTGTTAGAGAAATGTGCTCAACACGGGAGACTAAATTGGGGCTCTAGTTGGTGTGGTCAGGCCTCAGAAAGAAAGATCAAGCCCCGCCCTCACACGCAGCTCTCCAAGCGCAGACTCAAGCTGCAGAAGGGGTCTTTCAGTACTCCAGGACAGAGAGTGGTCCTAGCCGGTGCTTTTCGCGCCTAGCGAGTGTATTTCGCTCCTTGGCGGCCACTGCCCCCCATCCTGTAGCGCCCACCCACACAGCTACTCCGGACGTCGGTCCGTCTGTTCCTAAAGCTAATTTATTGGTCCAACCCTCCATTATCATTTTCAGCTTCCTAATTAATCAAAGATAAAAGGCAATGGCGCAGATTACGATTATGAGGGACCTGGAAGACGGTTTTGAATAAAATGGGAGAAGTGAAATATGATTAATTGAACAAGATAGTGAAATCTCAAGTGCGAGCAACAAGCCCCAGAGGGGCGAACCCTGATTCTTGCAAGCTGACCCAAACAGGAGGACAGTGCCTGCGTGAGGTCACGTGGGTTCGAAGGTTGGTAGAGAAAAACCTGGGTTTCGACTTCCACTTCTAACATATCCCAGCCAACTGCTTCCCAACCCCCGCCGCAGGACCGCCGCTCCCGTCTAATTTCTGGACTCCTGCCTAGGGTTAACTCCACAGTAATTAACGTGCACCCCAGTTTTCCATTTGTCTCCCCTCACTGCTTCTTTTCTGCCCTCTCATATTTCTTTACATTGGCCAAGACTTCATGGAATTTCAGTTAAGCACGTCTGGGAGGTCAGAGACCGCACGAACTCCTGTAAGGGATCAACAGAACCTTGTCCGATGCTGCTTTTCAGAATTACGTGCAGGATTAAAAGGCAGACACCGCGTGGGCTTACAGTTTGCACTCGCTGGTCGTTGTGATTAATGTTTCCGAGGGGATTTATTCTGAGAGCTTATGGAACCTGCTCTCGGGGTCTAAAGCCCCGCGGCTGTGACGCAGCGGCCCAAGGGCACTGTGGGCACGCGCCGGGACACTTAGGAATTAGAGGAGACGTCAGCTGGGCGCGCAGGAGCTAGGCATCGCGGCCCTTAGTGTCTTTTCTCCATCCCTACCCTCATCCCCAGCTTTGGTAGAAAGGGAAAGGACTGGTCTGGGAGGTCAGCTGTAGGTCTTTGGGGTGTCTTGGTAAAGGGAGGACTGTGTGGGACGTTCAGAATGCATTGGAAGGAAGGAACTCAGTATGAGGAGACTGAGTCCAGCAAGAACCCGGAGGCCCACATTCTGCAGATGCGCTGCCCCCCACCATAACACCCAGTCCCAAATCAAACACCCCATTTCTCCCATCGTCATCGGAGGACAACTCCAACCCCTCATGGTTGTCATACTTCCGGTTGATTGAAGGCACAACGCAGAGCAACAAGTCTGGGCAGGAAACCCATCGCCTTCCACATCATCTCCCAGGGTCAAACAAAACCTTCCTGAGCCACCGTAGCGACTTGTGAATGGGGGAAATAACCGAAATGCAAGGGTGGAGGCCAGAGTAGAAAGAGAACCAGGAAGGTGCGGATTGGGGAGGAAGGGAGGAAAAGAAGGGAGGAGTTGGGGAGGCAAGAGGAGACGAAGAATTGGGTAGGTGAGGAGAGGAGGGGAGGGAAGGGGAGAAGAGAGAAAAACCGAAAGCGTGGAGGGCAGTGAGAAGAAAACTGGGAAAGTGGGGTGTCTCGCCTGGTGGTGGGCATTACCACTCTCGGACGGAAGGGGGCGTGCTTCCTGCCGAAGCAGCTTTCGGCTGCGCCGGGTCGCGGGCGCCTAGACACAGTCCGACTCCGGAGCAGGTTCTGGGTGCTGGGCGCCCTCTCCTGGCGGCTGTGCGGCGGCTCCCGCTGTCCCTTGGGTGGTCCATCCCCAGCCCCGCCCTCGGTGCGCTGGAGGGAGGGTGGAGGACGGAAGGTCAAGGGAGGGTGTGGGAGGACGCAAGTTCGGACTCGGGTTCCTGTGCGAAGCTCCGCTTCTTACCTGCAGAAAGCGGGGCGCTCAGTCCTGGCCAGCCGACTGCTGAAGTCCCGCGCTCGGTCTCCGGCGGTCCCGCCCCAATCCCAGCCTAGGCTCTCGGATGAGTGCTGGGCTCTTCAGTAGCAGCTGGGAGCGAGCGACTGCCTGATGCTGCCGGGCGGCGTCTGGGGCCCCGCAAGAGGAGCGCAAGGAGCGGCCATCTGGAGCCTGGCGGCGGGCGGGGCGCGGGTGCTAGGGACCGGCCCTGCCTGCAGGACCGGAGGCCAAGAGCAGCGGCCTGCGGGTGGGAGAAGTTCCTGGTGGTAGCGGCGTCTTCCTTGTGGTCTCAGAGCTGATGGCAATCGTGGGCGGGCGTGTGTGAGGAAGGCACGGCTCCTGGGAGGATCCGAGGTCTGCCCTCCTCAGGTAGCCCACATTGGGGCATCCCCTGGTAGATGTGGCGGAAGCTTAAAGGATAGTCTAGCATCCCCCTGAGCTCCGCGGTTCTTCTAAGGTGGAGACCCTCACCTCCAGACTCGCGAAAACCTGCGGTTTGTCTAGTCTCTAGTTTCCCTTGCCTCTCACATAGTTCATCCTACCCGAGGAAACTCCCCTCCACTCCCCAAAGACGGGTCTTTTGGACACCTCCACACTTTATCCAGAACTTGAGACAGACACTGGGAAAGGTATCTTTCTTGGGGAAAACGGTCTCTAGTTTCCTAAGGGTGGTGGCAGAGAGAAGAACCAGGGTCCCCCCTACCCCCCGAAGCGTGGGAAGCACAGTGCACATTTAACCCGAGGGTAGGTGGGAACTGTGGCGACTCCCCTCCCCTCCTTTCATTTCAGGTCTCCTGGGTGCTTTTAATTCCTTCTACACACTTCTAAGAGGTTTCTCTAGTGATGCCAGCTGAGAGCAAACTCGAGGAAGTAGAAAATAGGCGGGGCGTGCAGGAGGCCAGGGGACACATTCCGTGAACTCAAGTTTCTCCAGTTAAGCACTGTCTCTTAGATATTCTCAGCTTTATAGTCTTTTGGGTAACATAATGGAAGCTAATAGGACTTATGAACAGTGAAGGGCCGTCTGACCAAAGGGGGGAAAAATGAAATAAAGGGAAGACAGACCCACTCCTACCCCAAGGCATTAAAAGACACCCCCACCCCCAGCTGTCTCGTGTCCGGCAGAATGGCATTATGTAAAAGACCTGGCATGTCACCCAGTGGCACATCTGGTAGGTGTAGATGGCATTCATTAGCACGGGGCTCCCACTCTGCGGCATGCCAAAGCTCTGACAGAGATGCCCGCTGCCAATCATTCATTCACTGCCAATCCCAAAGCGCGGCCGGGTGGGATGGCTCCCTTCCACACTGCCATCAGGACTGGAGGAAACAATGTGTTGAGACACGAAAAGATGAAAGCGGAGCTGAGGATGCTAGGCACCCAGCAGATGTATCCCGTGAGGAGATAACCAGGGAAAGAGTCGTTTAGCAAGAAAGCATATGCAGAATCGCAGGAGGGAGGCTTGGGCAGGGGTGTGCCTCACGCCTGCGGCTGAGTGGGGGGAAAGGCGGAGGAACTCCTTAGAAAATCTGGAGGTTGAGGTTGGTTCTCTGAAAACACAGACACCCACATTCCAAGCTTAACTGTAAGGTTTGCTACTTGCGGTTTGTGTCTTGTACTTTTGCCTGTCTAGAACCCGGACTGGGTCTGAAAAGATTAACTTCTCTGTCTTGGTGGTGGCTTTGAGTATCATGAAAGACTGCCTTTTGAATTTGCTTCCCTCAGCCCAGGGCTTTGTAAGGCAGCAGAGGGATGCTGTGCTCATTCTACTGCAGAGCTCCGAAGGCCTTGCTTGCTTCAGTTCCTAGACTTTCTCAACAGACAGAACTGAATAGAACAAGGAAACTATCTGAGAGGAAAAGGAAAATTAAACACAACCCTGGGCAAAGGTTGTCGTAGTCTTAGGTGTTTGCTAGATCGTCAGCCTATTGTTTTCCTTTTGGCACACACACGCTGTAAACATGATTTTGTCAGTTTCATATTTAACAGTTAATAACAAAACCAGTAGATATCTTTTAAAATATTTATTTATTTATTGTATGTGTATGAGTGCTCTATCTGCATGCACACCTTTATGCCAGAAGAGGGCATCAAATCCCACTATTAGATGGTTGTTAGACACCATGTGCTCGCTGGGAATGGAACTCAGGACCTCTGGAAGAGTAGCCAGTGCTCTAAACTCCTGAGCTATCTCTCTAATCCCACCAATGGATATTTTTTAAAGAGTTTGTGGCACTCAGTATAAAATTAAGTGTAACAGTTTTTTATTTTATTTTTACTATGCTGGCTCTTAATAAATCACTAGTTCACAATATCACTCGTAAACTCGTGATTTTTTATTTACGAAATTATGCTTTTAAAAATATACACTTTAAAACATTTTGAACATACTAATCGTGGTAATTTGAAAGAAAATGGTCCCCAAAGGGAGTGGCACTATTAGGAGGAGTGGCCTTGTTGAAGTAGGTGTGCTCTTGTTGGAGGAAGTGAGTCACTGTGGAAGCAGGTTTTGAGGTATCATGTATGCTCAAACCATGACCAGGAGATAGTTCACTTCCTGTTGTCTGTAAGATGTAGAACCCTCAGCTTCTTCTCCAGCACCATGTCTAATTGTACACTGCCATGCTCCCCATCATGATACTGCTGGACTGAACTCACTGTAAGTGAGCCACCACAATTAAATATTTTCCTTTATAAGAGTTGCTGTGGTCATGGTGTCTCTTCACAGCAATAGAACCCCTAACTAAGGCAGAAATTGGTGCCAATGTAGTGGGGTTGTTGCTGTGATAGACCTGATCATGTTTTGGGAGGGCTGTGGAAGGACTTTGAAACTTTAGGTTAGAAAAGCCACTGAGTGTCAGGAGTTCAGTGGAATGTTCTGTGGGAACTTGGAAGATAATTCTAGCCATAGTTAAAGGTCTTTGAGCCTATAATTTGTGATTCTAGAGAAGCTAAATAAGAAGGTGAACCTGAAGAAAATCATATAGTTATCCTC